TCTGATCCTGCCCTACCTGGGCCCTGTCAGCCCCTGAAACCCCCAAAGCCCCCCTTAAACCCACTCTCAAATCTCCAATCAAACCCCTTCGACACCCGCCAGAAGCCTCCCCACCACCCCGTCCACCACCCCTTCCACCTGTAGGAGCTCGGGGGTCATGACCAGCGGGCAGCGGGTGCAGATCTCGCGGACCGTCTTGAGGCCGACGGTGATGACCTCTGGCCGCGCACGGTCGTGCACAAACTGGTCGACCAGCTGCCGCACCGCTGGCTCCAACACGTCGGGGGGAACCTGCTCGTGGCACGCCTGGCGGGGGGGGTAGGGGGGATGCTTGTGTGGGTGGGTTGGGGGGTTGCTGGTTACTTGAGTGGTGCGAGGTAGGCCAGGGTGCACGGTTGGATCTCCCGTGCTGCGTCATTGGGCGCCACCCGACACGTCAACCCGAGCCAGAGCACGAGCAGAGGCAGCGCCGGGCCCTCTGCAGCCTGCCATGCGAGAGCCCCTCAGTGTACGGGTCCCTCACCGGTGAGATGCCCTGTTGCACCCCGCACCCTGTTGGGAGGCGGTGCGACACCCCGCACCCGAGACATGACAGTCGTCCCGGACAGGCAGAACAACCACCCTTGCCTGAATGAAGGCCGCCAGGACGGTGGTGACGTCCAGGGTGTGCGGGGCGATGTACTTTTGAAGAAAGGGGTAGAAGTTCAGCACCAGCAGCTTGTGCACGCCCACGGCGCGGGAGAGCACGGTCATGATGACCAGGCGCGTCTCGAAGCGGGCGCCGCCGCTCTGCAGGCGGCGCAGCAGGCCCTCGGCAAAGCCCTGGGGGTCGTGCAACAGCTGCAGCGCGGCAAAGGCCTCCGACTGCGTCCCCTCCGCGCGCCGCCCCGCCTTCTTCACCGCCGCCTGCACGCGCCGCAGCTTCTTCTGCTTCTTCTTCTTGCTGGAGGTCGTGCCCTTGTGGAAGGCGCCGTACACGTCCTCCTTGGTGGGCGCCGCGGGCCCGCCGGCCCCCCGCTCCTCGTCGTCGCTGTCGCTGTCGGCGCCGGCCCCCGCCCCCGCCCCCGCGTCCTGGCCGATGAAGAACTTGAGGGCGGCCAGGAGGATGCGGGGAGAGGGGTGCGACGTCGCGCTGGCGATGACGTTGACGGTGCGCGCGTCGCGCCAGACGCGGCGCCGCCACATCTCGGTCATCACCGCCAGGCCCTTCTTGGCGGTGCCCTCGTGCTCGTCGCCCAGCACCGTGTACATGAAGTTCTGCAGGGTGCGGTTCAGGCGCTCGTTCCGCCCCTTCTTGTTGGCGTTCTTGATGTCAGAGGTGATGTGGCGGAAGAGCAGCTGGCGCAGCGACTTGTCCTGCACCCGGAACAGGCGGAACAGCAGCGGCAGCAGCTCCGTGGGGGGCAGCTGTTGTGGTTGTGAACATGTACGAAGGGTGGGAGGACAGGGAGAATGAGACTTCTGGGTGGAGGAGGCCGGGACCTTGACAGGGAAGGTTGCTGGTGGATTCAGCGAGGAGTGGCAAGGGACGTGTGGACCCTTAGAGATACCTAGGCCTCGAGAAGCACAGGTGTCCATCGACTCAGGCGCTCGACCACCAGCAGGCCGGCCGAAACGGAGCGTCTCCTTGTCTCTCACGAGGTGATGCAACACCGTCAATCCCCCATGTACTCATGTTGATCAACAACCCATTCCAACACCGTCAATCCTCCATGCACTCATATGATTCAACGAGCCATTCCACCGTCGCACCTGCCCCCGGTTTCTGATCAGGATCAGGGCCTTCACGATGGTGTGCCTCAGCACAGGCTCCATGAGCATGTGGTGCTGGTCCAGGGTGGCCATGAGGTCCCCAGTGAAGCTCTTGGTCAGGGCGGGGTAGCAGGATGCCACCTGGGCCACAAACGTCACCAGCTCCCCCAGGCCAGGACTGGGCTGGTCCGGGGAGAGGTGGAGCAGATCCAGGCAGGCCTTGAAGTGCCGCCACTGCAGCTCAAACTCATCCTGGTACCCGGGGGGGTCCCTCTTGATGTGGCCCTGGGAGGGTAAAGGACTGAGATGTGAGGATTTCGCCGTGCACAGGGCCAATGGTGGGTAACAGAAGGCTCAAGGAAATGAGGGCAGCTTAAATCTGATGCTCTGCCCACCGCCCCCAGGAGGAGCACCTGCAAGAGGAGCAGGTCCTGTGCCACAGACATGGCTAGGAGGGGTGCTTCTCCACAGAGGTGGAGATGGGAAAGGTACCGCCACGCCGGGCCGACGAGGTCGGTGGCTCAAGCCGTCAAACCTCCACCCATGCAGCGCTGGGAGGTGTGGGGAGCGACGCGCTAGCAGTCACAGAAACTGTACAGGGAGAGAATATTGTACATATGTATTACCACTGAATATGCAGTATGGACTGAAATGTATGTTAAAGCGGTAAATGTGCGCGCGCGCTCTAGCTCGACTTTGGCACTGTGCAGTCCACGTGGACCTGCGGGCGCGCAACCTGTCGGAGCTGTGGGCAGGAGCATCAACCCGGCACAGCCTGTCCTGCAGGTCGCTAGAGGATTTCATTATCAGGCCACCACAACGCAACCTTTGCCTGCGCCACAGGGAATGTCTGGGCTACCACAGTCCTCCCTGTACCAGCCACAGAACGACGATCAACGTGGGGCCGATTCCCCACCCGCCCGTGAGTCCTGGAGATGGCGATGACCGCCGTGTAGATCAAATACTCCTCCATTCCACTCACACGTATCCATCGATTCACACCACAGTCCGTAGACCAAGCGAGGAGTCCCTGGCCAGGGGGAGGACAGACACCCATCACCAGAAGGGTAGGAGGCATGCCCGCTCAGGCAGACTGGGAGGCGTGCTGCATGGTCTCTTGGCTCATGACGCCCCCCGCCCTCCCCTCTCCACAGATTCCCAGGAGGCATCCCTGATCCAGCTGCGGTCCCAGCTCCACGAACTCGACAAGGACGAGTGCGTGGCAGGGTGCACTGTGACGGTCTGATCAATCAATGCCGCGGGCCACCTCTCTAGAGGCACGTCAGCCTCAACCCATCCTTCCCATTGGCCCCTGCTGCAGCTGGATGTTCGAGAAGCCGCGGTGCACCTTCACCTAGGCGCCATGCCGGAGATCACCATCGAGGAGGTGGAGGGCGATGCCGCGCAGGCCGTGGACCTTCTCTCCGACTCCCACTGGCGCGATCTCGCCCCCCTGCCCTACCCACCCCTCCCCCAGCCGGTGGTGGAGATAGACATGGATGAGGAGACGGCGCTCCTCATGGGCAGGTTCTGGGCCGTCAAGACCGCTGGGGTATGTGTGGTGGCTGAAGGGAGACCGAGGGAGGGAGCGAGGGGAAGAAAGGGGGCCAATGGCCGGTGCACAGGGTGGTGAATCATCTCGGGACGTGCCTGGGTCGTCCTTGCGAGTACACGTTGCCCACACTCAAGCCGCGCCTGCTCACCACTGCCCCCCCCCCCCCCCCCCCCCGCCTTTCCCGCCGCCCACCCACCGTAGGAGCTGAGCGAGCGCGCGGTGGCGCTGACAGAGCACATCATTCTGCACATCAACGGCGCGCACTACACTGTGTGGGAGTGGCGCTGGCGCTGCGTGCTGGCCCTGCGCGGCAAGGAGGTCGGCGATGTGGAGGAGTCGGGGTCCCCGCCCGGCGTCGCAGACACCACTCCCTGGCCCTCCGCCAGCGGATTTCCCACCGCCAGCCCCGCCCCCGCGCTGGAGGCCGAGCGCGAGCTGCATGCGGCCGTGGCCGCCGCCAACCCCAAGAACTACCAGCTGTGGAACGCGCGGCGGCGTGCGGCGGCGGCCGCCGGCGCGGGCGCGCTGGCGCTGGAGCTGGCCTTCACGGGGGCCTGCCTGGCCCTGGACGCCAAGAACTACCACGCCTGGGCACACCGCCAGGCGGTGGTTGCCGCGGCCTGGGAGGAGAGCGTGGCGCGGGCGGAGCTGGAGGCCACGCGCCAGCTGCTGGGCGAGGACCCGCGCAACAACTCGGCCTGGTCATACCGTATGTACCTCGTGCGCGCGCTCGCCGCTGACCTGGCAGGCGTGGGCCGGCGAGCCGGGGGGGGGGACCCTGGAGGGCGGGGCCACGCTGGACCCCGGCAGTCCGCTCATAGCCATGTGGGTGCAAGTGGGGGTCGTCGGGGGGTGGACACAGTAGGAGTGGGGGGGAAGAGCACATGTGCGTGTGCTGCATCGCATGGGGAGAAGGGGGGGGGGGGTGCTGGAAGGGGCTTGGTTGCGGCAGGGGTCACCTGTCATGCCAGAAGCAGTTCCAGACCATTGTTCGAGTTGTGGGGCATCTCGATGGGTCATTGCACAGCAGGAACCTCCTTGCTGGGCCGTACGAGTTGGAGGAGTCGCACATTCACGAGAGCCTACACCACTCCAGGCCATCGCACCCTGCACCCCAGCCCCCCTTCACCTTCAACCTCAGCTAATCCCCTCTCACTTCCAGAGAGATGGACCTGGTGCGCAACGCTGTGCACGCTGTGCCTTCCAGCCAGAGCGCGTGGGCCTACGCCCTGGGCCTGCGCCCGCTGGTCCCCGCCGGGGCGCTGAATCAAGGGATCGCGGCGCTGGCCAGGCAGGTGCTGGGGGCCGCGCCATGGAGCCTGGCCGCGCTGCGTGCGCTCCGCCGTGCCGAGGGCCCCTGAGACTGCCTGATTGGCGAGCGTTCGATGTTGGTGGGAGGTGTGTGTCTGTGTGTGTTGATTCTGCCTGGGATCCCCATGCCCCTGCACGTTCCATGCAGTGCTCAAAATATTCAGCGTGCTGCTCAGGCGAGTGTGCGTAAAAACCATAGCAAGGGGGTCTGCTCTGGGGAAGTTCTGAACCAGCCGACTGCAGCAACACTGTCGGGGACCAGCAGAGGCAGGGAGGATGTGCAGAGAACACAGCGTCTGTCGTACGGTGAGCCTGGACACGGCTCCCAGCGACGCCGCCGCGACACAGAGCCATCCCGCGAAGCCGCCCGCGTCAAGTCACGCGCACGAGGACGTTGGTGAGGTACCGCCCCTCAGGGTAGCCCGGGTCGAGCGGGTGGTCTGGCGCCGCCCCCGCCGACCGCAGCAGTGTCAGGCTGCGCCCCGCCAGGCGGGCGGCATCCTGCCGAGGGGGGGAGCAACAGAGTTGTCGAGGAATCAGCCAGTAGGCAGAATGGTGCGACGACACACCTCACCGTGCGCCCTGCTGCAGCGCAGCCTGGGTGACGACAGCGAGCTGGAAGGTGTTACCGGAGCCGGGCTCGTGCCGGGGTGTCTTTGACGTGCACCGATCCCTAGCCTCCTGTTCACCACCGACGCACCCGTGAAATCTCCCCGCCCTACCCTCCTTCCCTCCCTCCTTCGTCCTCCCCTCACCTCCCCGCCCAGGCCACCTCCGAACAAAAAGGAACCACGAACAAACACACAGCCCTCACACACAAGCCCACCTGGAGCATGGGCAGGAAGCCGTCGCTTTGGGTCATGGCCCCCGAGCAGGAGCAGGTCATGAGGAGCCCCCCTGGGGCCACCAGGCGCATGGCCGCCGCGTTGTAGGCGGTGTACTGCCGCGTGGCACGCACCATGGCCTTCTTCCCCGGCGCCAGCTTGGGCGGGTCCAGGACCACCATGTCCCAGCCGCCCGGCGGCGGCTGGCTGCCGCGACCCCAGGCCTTCATGTCCTGACGCTCAAAGGTCAGGACCTGGTCCAGCCCATTCAGCGCGGCGTTGGCCGCCGCAGCGTGCACGGCGCGGTGGGAGCTGTCCAGGCCCAGCACATGGGTCGCGCCGCCGGCGGCCGCGTTCAACGCGAAGCCGCCCGTGTAGCAACACAGGTCCAGGACGCGCTTTCCTTTGCTGAGCTGGCGCAGGACGAGGCGGCTGTCGCGCTGGTCAGCGTAGAAGCCCGTCTTCTGGTTGGGGCCCTCGGCGTCCAGGCTGTACCGCAGCCCATGCTCCCGGATGATCAGCGGCGGGTCGGCGGGCGAGGCGGGAGAGGCCGCGCTGTCCGTCTCTGCGTCCTCCCCTGCGTCGCCCTCCTCCTCCTCGCCAGAGTCCTCGCCAGAGGCGGCCCTGCTGCGAGGCCCGTTCATCGCCACTCCCTGGACCCCCGCCGCACCGGGGTCATCAAAGGTCCAGCCCTCCTCGCGCGTCAGCATGGTGACGGCAGGCTGCCACACGATGTCAGGCTCGGCCCCGCCTGCGGTACCCTGCTGCTGGAGGACCTCGGTCAGCGCGCGGGTGATCTCCGCGCGGTACCGCATGCACCAGGCCGCCGAGGGGGCCACCACCACCTGGGAGCCCAGTACGTCGATGATGAGGCCCGACAGCCCATCGCCCTCACTGTATTTTCGAGTTGATAAGGGGGTGCGTCGGGTGCGTCGGGTGTAACTCATACCATCAACGATGGCCTCCCGTGACGCCGTCCATGGTGCCCTGGTCCAGCTGCAACAGGAATCCAAGCAACTTAGCACACCTGTTGACGAGGCGGTAGACATCGGTGTCCTGGCTGGGGAGGTCCAGGGCCCGCCGCAGCTCCCAGGCGGCCTGAATCTTGGCGCGAAGGAGGGCCTGGATGTCGCTGGGCGCCTTTTGCTCAGGGCTCGACAGCATCTGCATGATCCTGCAGCGGGGCAAAGGGGTACGTGGTTGCTGGAAGGTTGGTGCACTGGCGATGCAGGGCGCTCGGGCAGCTCGGCTGGCCATGGCAGTCAATGCCCCAGCACACTCCTTGAGCAAGGATGGCGCAGAACCTCTGATTCGGGGCACAAGGCCACGCAAAGGCTGCCTCACTGTATCTTGTTACATCACACCCCCCTCCCCACACCCCATGCCCGCCCGCTCTACCCAGCTTACCGCACGCGGTACATGGAGTGGGGGTTGTAGAAGCCCCATGCAAACGCGGCGCCTGCTCCATCGCACACCAGCACAGCGTCGCCAAGGGCGGGGGCCGGCCCCTTGATATTATCCACGGCGCCCCCGTATACAACCGGGTTGCGATGGCGGGAGAAGAGGTGGACCTTGCCTCCCTTGAGCACCAGGCGGGGCGTGGCAGTCTTGCTGGCCACCGCCGCACGGACGTGCAGCCCGGCGCGGCTACCCGGTCTCTTGGCGCTCGTAAAGGCCCTCAGTGATATGCATGGTGCACTGCGCAGCAATGCGGTGGCATGCTGCATTGGGCACCGATGGGTACGGGATGCCGGACAGTATACACTCGACACTGGGAGAACTGCTCCACCACCAGAACCAGTACTGCGCCGTTCAAATCACATGAAGTGGGATGAATGTGATTTTCAAATATACTGGTATGTGTTGGGGCATGCATGCACAAACGATTGTTCTACACAGCATGGATTTACAGCTGCACCACCATGCCCATGACAAGCATGCTTCGGCGGGCGGAGTTCCCCGCTTAAGCACTCTGGCAACTCGAGTCGCATGCTCTGAATGATCAGATAAACGACCACAATGGAGGCCCAGATCTCAACTTGATACCATTATGTATATTCAGGCACCCGTGAGTCGACTGCGCTGCCTACTCTGGGGACATGGCAAGTTGGTAGGACAGGAAGTCAGGGGTGAGCTGTCCCGTCCTGCTCCCCAGCCCAGGACCAGGACCGCCCCGCATCGGCCCATGACTCCACGGTACGATGTGCAGGGGAATTTCATGATGCATGAGTGAGCTTGATGTCATGCGCACCCGTCATGCTGGCCTTCCCGTGCCGTTAGCAGTCGGTTCCCCTGCACCACAGACTCCATGCAACGATCTCGGAGCCCCGGGAGCAGAGCACCGGCTCGGCCAGCATCTCGGAGCGACAGCCAAAGACAGATCAGAAGGGTGTGACGTACACCGCCCTCGAGGGCAATGCATTTGTGTTGGAGTTCCGCAAGACTGGTGAGTGAAGTTGGTGTTAGGAGCTGCCCTGTACTGCCTCATGGGGCAAGGCTTGCAAAGTGTGATACTGCAGCCCCCCAGCTTGCGTCAAGTGATACTGTCCGGCAATACCTCATGTTTCTTTTGGTGGACACCCTCTCACCTGGGCACGTGCACAGGGACGCGGGTCCTCGTGGACCCATGGCTGATCGGGCCCCTGGACTTTGGGGGCGGGTCCCACCTCCTGTACCAGGGCACGAAACGGGCGCTGCGCTTCACGGAGGCCAGTGCGATAGAGCTGGCCAGGAGCTGCGACCTTATCCTCATCACCCAGTCCATCAACGACCACTGCCATAAACCCACGCTGGCGGTGCTGCCCCGCGACATACCTGTGGTGGCCGCTCCGGGGGCGGCCACTATAGTTCAGGGCATGGGTTACACATCGGTGCAGGCCTGTGACCATGGCCAGTCTGTGGAGGTGGGCTTTCTGAGAGGGAGGCATAGTTTTGGGTGGTCAGTGGACTTTGGATGCATGAGAGAATTTTGTAGTCGCAGCATCAGGATCCCTCGCTGTTCACAGTACAAATTATGGCTCTCACCAACCTCCTTCTTCCTTTCTATCCCCACCCAGGCTGCCGGGGGGAGGCTGAGCATCAAGGCCTCGCAGGGCGCGCTGACCGGGCCGCCCTGGGCAAAAAGACAGAATGGGTACCGCTTGGTGGAGAACACCGAGCAAGGAGCGCGCGTCTACTACGAGCCCCATGCCGATTTCGTTCAGGACTCGGTGTCGGAGCTGGGCAAGGTGGATGTGGTCATCACGCCGCCCACCACCATCTCCCTCGTGGGGTACCGGGTGGTGAGCTGAGCAGGGGGTGGTGGTGGGAGTGCCAGTGGGACACCTGTCCAGCTGTTGTACTCAAGGTATCATAGTAAGCCAGTGCAGATGGACCCAAGGAAGTGGTCTTCACGCCATTTTTTACGGAGCTTGCGTGCACAATCAGCGACAATCGAGTGCTGACCGCATTCTTCCCTCCAAAATCCATACAGGTCCACGGTGGCAGCCCCCAGAACCTGAAGCTGCTGACCATGCTGGCGCCAGACGCAGTGATCGCGCTGAAGAATGCCGACTTTGAGGAGAAGGGGCCCCTGGCGTCCTACACGAAGCAGGGGGATGTGGCCACCATGCGGGTGGACATGGCCAAGATCGGGGCGCTGGCCGACACCCAGCTGTACGAGCCAGAGCCGGGGCAGCCAATACATGTCATGCTCTAGGGTTGTGTGATGCCGTGTCCTCTTTATTATGTGTGTCTGTACAGTATCAAGGCCCAATGGTTGCAATGCTGTCAAAGAAACCAGATGATTAGAATGCCCTGACCAAGTGGAAGGGGGTTGGTCAAGAGTCCCATGCGGAATGACAAGTCTTCAGGTAACATTCAGAGGGCGCATGTCCCCTCCTCACCGCACCGTAGCACCCGTGATGGACAGCCAGCTCCAACATCATGATGCAGGGTCAGGACGACAAATGGGGATTCCCGGCCCCGAAGAATGCGCGGTGCGCCACGCCCACCGCATCCCGGGTCGCGGCGACATTGTGCACCCGCAGGATGGCGGCGCCCTGCGCAGCGGCCAGCGCTGCGGCGGCTGCCGAGGCGTGGTCGCGGCGGCTGGCGGCCGTCTGCGCACCCACGCTCCCCGCCTCTGGACCGCACAGGAAGCGCTTGCGTGAGGCGCCGATGAGCAAGGGCAGGCTGGCGAGGGGGGGAGGAAGGTGGCCCTGCAGGCGGCGCAGGCCTCCCAGGATCTGGCTGCTGTGCTGCGCCCGCTTTCCAAAACCCAGGCCTGGGTCCAGGATGAGTCGCCAGGGCTCGATGCCGGCGGCGATGGCGCGGGCGCCTGGGCGATGGCGGGGGGGTGGTTGGGAAAATGGATTGATGCGGGAAATGCCGTTCAGCCATGCAAGCTGATTTGGGGTCAGCATGGGACTTCACAAGATATTCTCAGCGATGGTCAGAGTCGTGCCCAGCGAGCTCCATGCCATCCCTGAGCCCGAGGCCACACACTCCCCTCCACCGCCATGCACCTGCTTCCGCCAGTTCTGCAGCCACCTGGGCGCAAACGTCCACCACGCCGTCCAGCCGCGCCGCCTCCGCCACCATGGTCTGGGCAGTTCCGTAGCTGTGCATGAGGATGTATGGCACGCCGAGCTCCGCCACCTGCGGAGGGATTTGGAAAGAGCGGAAGAAGTTGGGTTGTTGTTGTGGTGGGTGGCGATGGCAAAACGAATGAAGACCATATTCAGCGGCAGTATTCTCCCGGCCGTTCACGTATGAGATGCATGCACACTCCACACACACTCGGCCTCAAAGGCGCAGACAGCCCCCGCCCGCCTCACCGCAGCAAACATGGCCGGATCGTGGCGGCCGCCGGAGACGTCGTTCACTATGTCGGCGCCCGCCAGCACCGCCCGCTCCGCCACGCCGCTGTAGAACGTGTCGATGGACAGCGGGATCTCCCTCAGGTCCTCGCACTCCCGCAGCGCGCTGGGATGGTTGAGGGATGGGTAAGTCTGAGTGAAGCCGTGAAGCGGCCTCGCCCCGAGGGCCGCGCCGCCCTCGCTCGCGGCGGCGCCGAGTCAAGGCGCAAACCCTGCCGCCCAGTGCCTTCGGCAAGGCTTCCAAGGGGGGGCCCCAAAAAAACCAAAAGCTCATCCTTCCCTCCTGACTTCCTTCCAACAGCAGTCGAACACGCACCGGATGACGGGAATCACACGCGCCTCCTCCTCCTCCTCGGACACGGGGTCCGCCCCCGGGCGCGTGGACTGGCCGCCGACGTCGAGTAGGTCGGCGCCGTCCTGCACCATGGCCCGGGCATTGCGAAGCGCGCGCGCCACGTCGCCAAAGCTCCGTCCGCCATCGCTGAAGGAGTCTGGGGTCACGTTGAGGATGCCCATGACGCGGGGCGGGAGCTCCCCGCCCCAGGCCAGGCCGCGCGGGCCCGGGTCCTGCCCTGGTCGGGGCAGCGGGATCCAGGGGGCCAGCCCCGCCGCCGCGCCGCCCAGCTGGCGCTCGCCGCCCGCACGCCGCCACGCGGCGGCCACCTCCGCCAGCGAGGCGGGCAGGCCGGCTGAGGTGGCGTGGGTCTCTGCATCGGGTGGACATCGCGGCGCCAGGTCGGCCAAAGGAGCCTTCACAAAGGCCCGCTCCCGCCAGCGGGGGTGGGGCAGGGTCAGGCGCTCGCTGGAAAGCACGGCGTCCTCGTAAAACACAATGTCAAGGTCGATGGGGCGAGGGCCGTTGCGCAGGCCGCGGAAGTCCCGGCCCAGCCGCCCCTCGATGGCCTTCAGGCTGTCCAGCAGCTGCAGCGGGGTCTGGGCGGTGCGAACCAGCGCGGCAGAATTAAGAAAGCGCGGCTGGTCCGTCACGTACTGAGGCTCGCTCTCGAAGAGCCGGGCCACGGACAGCACCTGCAGGCAGGGATGGAGGGGAGAGGGAACTGAACTTACGGGGGATTCGTGGAGCAGAGCCGGCATGCATCATTGGGTTGAGGGACAAGGGGTTTTGCCATGGGATCGGGGGGGTGGGAAGTGGGCCCAGGACTGTGCCAGTAAAAGCAAGGTCAGCACCACCCACCTCGATTCCTGCGCTGTTCAGCGCCTGCAGAGCCTTGCGAATGTTCCCGACGCGATCACCCTACTCGCGTTGCAAGCATTGCGATGTTTAGCCTTTATACACACAGATTTCATGCGCACAGGCGGATGAGGTGGAAGCCACAATGATCTTGGCATGCTCACCAGGTTGCTCCCGAGGGCAAGCGCGACTCGGGCCATGATCGTCGGGATGCTGGAGATGCTGTCACACTACATGTGGGAATGCTACCCAAGCTTGAAAGCTCGAGTCCTAATCGCATGCATTTATGCATGTCTTGGTCTTTTCTCGTGTGCATGTGCGGATCATCGAGTATTCAGATGGGGGGGCGCGCGCGATTACAATTCATAAGACCTGCCACTCACGGATCCAGCCAGATCATTGAGCGCAAGAAACTCCACGTGCAAGTGCATGCGATGTAGTCGTCAACATGCAACAGTCCAGAGACCGTATCAAAGTATGAGGCACCCGCCGCAGGCTAAATATGGTGACTCAAACCACCACGCGCGCAGGCCTTCATCTCCGCTTGAAGCCATACTTCTTCCTGCAAAGGAAGGACAAGGAAGAGATGGTAAAACCTCGAGCACACGAGGCAGATGCTAAAAGCCCTTTCGACGGTCCACGTTTGCTTCCCCTCACCGCTCATAGAACAGGTCGGTCTTGGCACTGCCTAGGTTAATGATCTTTGGGCAGCCGTCCCTCTGAGAATGATGAGAGGACCGGAGAGAGGGATGAGTTTGACTGAGGCACACGAGACAGACCAATTCAGATCATCCACCCCAGGGCAGCCACAACTCACATCCTTCTCTTGTAGAACGCACTCCTTGCAGTAGTAGGCGTCCGAGATGCCAGTGCTCCCGCAAATCACGCATCGACCGGCATAAGAGCCGTAGTTGCACTCGTCACACACTCTTACGAGTGTGGCTGGACGGACCAGGCTGTCGCAAATGGGGCACTTGCCATCGCCTGCCGATGGGGATTGGGGAGGATACTGAGCGTCGGAATGCAAGGGCACTGCACGCAGGCCTACCTCGTTGAGACAGCACAATTACCGCCTACATTTCTCGCAGAGACGTCCGATGGCTGCTGGGGAGGAGGGAGGGAGCTGGGTTGCGGAACTTCCAGAGCACACCGTCTGCAGGGCAGCAAGAATCAAGGTAACGCCTTCCCATTACCGGTCTGAGATCCGAATCTTACCTATACCGGGCTGCTTGCGGCACATGATGAGGTCGGGATGGTGCCTCGCCATGGTGCAAGCCTATAGCAGTGCGGGACGATGACCGCTCAAGGTAGGGGTGCAGGGTACTCTCTGAGGCCACTTTGACAAAAAATTATTATATTACTTGTAAAACTTATTACATTGTAGATCAAGACTGCTGTCGGTCACGACAAGTAGCGATGTCGGGGAACACGATTTCCTTCGACGCGTAGCTGGGCGCGCGCGCACTCTGGACGCGAAACCGTCCCATCCCCAACATAACCAATACCAGTCATAGTGTACAGAGAGGATTCCAGCAAGAAAGCATGGCATCAGAGGGCATCCAGGATGCTGCGGGTCAGGCTCTGCACGGGCAGGCTGAGCAGGATGAGGGAGCACTGCAGCTCCAGGGGCCCCCCACCGCCGCCCTTTCCGGCGCCCACCTCACTCGCCACCTGGCGCACCACCTGGCCCAGGCTCCGCGTCAGCTTCTGGAGGGGGCCCTTCCCTCGGTCTGCCTCCCGGGCCTGGCCCGGCGGCAGCATGCGCAGCACCGCCACCTCGGCGCGGCCTTCCCCCCCGGGCCCATTCATGAGCACACGCTGGGCCCGCCGGGGGCCCAGCACCGAGAGCGGGCCCCCCATGACCCCCGCCTCCACCATGCGGGCCTTCGTCACGAAGCCGGAGAAGGCGCAGACCTTGGGCTTGGGACCGGGAGGCGGGTGTGGTGGGCCGGCTGGGTGGGAGGCGGGAGCGGCGAGCGCCTTCTGACACCGCCACTCCTCGACCCTGGCATGCAGGAGGACGCTGTAGCAAGTGTTCCCGTCCCTCAGGATCTGGGGGAAGGCAAGGGAATGGAAGCCAGCTGCCCAGTGATGCTGTCAGTGCCGCACAGCAGCGCCAAAGCTTGCTCACATTCAATTAGCACCGCCAGGGAGGGCCAGCACCAGTGCGACAGAAGGGAGCTAAAACAGACTCTCCTCCTCACATATTGGTATGTCCTGGGTACAGCTATTGGCCTCTGCCCCAGTCTCTGCCCAAGCATCTGCACTCCCTCCAGCATCCCCCCCTTCCCAAACACACCCAAAAGAATGAGCAGCACGATCACCTGGGACTTGAAGACGGTGTCAAAGGTTGACACCTCGAAGCATATATCTGGGTATGTTGGGATGGGGTTCTGCGACCCCTTGGCCAGATTCCCGTCCACGTCGATTGGGAAGCGGGACGTGGAGGGCCAGGCCTCCAGGTTCACCCTCTCTGCCCCAGGGGGCAGCGGCTGGTCGTCGCTGTCCTCAGATAGCCCCTCGGGCCTGTGAGAGTGGACAGGGGTAACATTCGAGGGGGTTGAACTCGTCCGAGCGGTGGTCCAGGGAAAGCAGACGCATGAACGACATTACTGGAGGAAAGGAAGCGTCGAAACCATGCTGCCAGGGTATTACAAGCCACTGGCACCGACTGACAGGCGTGTGCTTCATCAGGGCAGAGCATGGCTGCCAGGTTCTGTGCCCTGGGGGCTGCCTAGCCTGCCCCTGCCTCCACCACCTCGATGCTCAGATTCCCACGAGTTGAAAGCAGAAGTCTTCCCCCCAGATCCCCCGCCCAACTCCCCACCTCACCCGCTGACCATGACCGTGAGGGTGTATCGCGTGTGCATGACCAGGCTGAGGAGGGCACTGGCCCGCCAGTCGATGTCCCCCGCCAGCGCACCCCCCAAGCTCAGGTCAGCAGGAAGCTCTTTTCCCCTCCTCCGCACGAGGACTGGGTCCTTGCGGTGCAGCCAGGGAAGGTAGACAAAGAAGAGCATGTCGTCGCGCTTGGGGGCGGCGGCGTCTGGGGGCAGCGCAAACTGCGTGAGCAGGCGGGGGAGAGAGGGAAGGCTGTGTGAGGGCGTGCCACGAGGGCAACAGCGCCATGTTCCATTGCATGCAGGCTCCACAGGCTGGGCTTGACATCCAAGTTGATCCCCCACACACAGTATCCAACATGAACAAGCACACCAGGATCTCAAAGGCGGCGTGCCATTGGTGCTGGGGCCAGAGGGAGCTCCCGTGGGGGTCCGAGGCCGCAGCCGTCTCGGCGGGATCCAGGTCCACCCAGCCCCCCTCCTCCCGCTGCTCGAAGCTGGCGTACAGGCAAAACTGGTGTTTGACCTCCCTCAGCGTCGCGAACCAGGTGTGCTCCTGCCCTTGCTCGCCGGGGGCGGGAGGCTGGTCCATGCCCACCATGCGCTGGTCTGGTTCAATTCATGACGGCCTACATCCCCTGCTGGGAGAGTATGGATCGTTGGTGTACCCAGGGAGAGCCTGGGCCAAGGCGTGTTGGCCCTGTCGACGTCCCGGACAGGTCGCCTGGTTCCGCGCCCGAGATCGCTGACCTGGCTTCGACCATCGCCATGCAGATTGGGTAGGGAGTACACGCACCCTACGAACCAGGTTGCAGGAGGTGCAATTGTTTTACATGCTTTTGGATACGTTTGACTCATCAACAGACTGTATCGACCATCACCAGATTCCCACTTTGCGGCTTGGGCCAGAGGCCACCGGTACAGGGCTCGATGCTCGCGGCTCAGGCGAGCACGAGCCCCCTGCTCCATCTGCGCAGCATATGTCTGCGCCCTTTTGTTGGTCGCCATGTGGAGTTCCGACCCCTGCTGTCCTCCAGGCCCGTGTCCGTCCCGCTGACCAGGCATTGCGCCGGTCTGAGGAGCACCGCTGCGCTGCACACCAGTGATGCGCAGGCGACGAGGGCCCAAGGTGACCATGCGTTCATTATGAGCCGGGAGCCTGCCGATTACCTGTGATCTTCGATTAGACTTGCCTCCCCATGCTGCCTCCAAGAGTGGAGGCAGTGACGCTGTTCCTGGCTGACCAGAGATCTTGCCTTGGGTAAACTTCTGGTGGCACACATACCATCAGATGTGCACCTGCTCGCACACCACCCTGCCGCCCCCTGCACCAGGCACGCGGAGCAAGGTGGAGCTGCCCAAATCTTTCGATCCTGTGGCCAGCGAGGAGAAGATCTACTCATGGTGTGGCTGGGGTGGTCAGCTTGATAGGGAGTGGTGCGTGGCTGGGCGGCACGCCTCATGTGCCTTACAGCTATGTGAAGGACGGGCCGAGTGGAAAGTAGCATCTGACCCTGTTCTGTACCTGTCCTGTGTCTAACCTTTCCCACACCCCCTTCCAAAACACCCCCACCCCAGGTGGGAGAGCTCGGGCCACTTTGAGCCAGCCGCCCCGACCCCCGGCGAGGCGCCCTTCACTATGGCCATGCCCCCTCCCAACGTGACCGGCAAGCTTCACATGGGCCACGCCATGTTTGTCACGCTGCAGGACGTCCTGGCGCGGTACAACCGCCTGAGGGGCCGCCCCGTCCTGTGGCTGCCGGGGACAGACCACGCCGGCATCGCCACGCAGGTGGGGTTGAGCGGGTTTAGGCCTCGATTTTGCAGATGTGGAACAGGGTTGTATGAGAGTGAGGGGTAGCAAGTTCTCTGGAGCAACTTGCTTTCGCACACATCCATATTCCTGATTTCCTCGCAAAATATCCATTACTCCCCCCCCCCCCCCCCCCCCCCCGCCGCTAGGGGGCGGGGAGGGAGAGGGGTGC